TGCCTCTCTACAACCCCAGTGAGAGATTTGTCGTGCCCCTCACTTAGGAACACTGAGGCAAAGAACTCGTTGAGGAGTTCAGCCTTGTCCCCTCTGTCTGTCACCAATTGTTTCTGCCCATTTAGCAGGGGTCCTATTCCTCCCTGGGCCTTCGTTTTAGTCCCTATATATCTAAAAAACAATTTCTTGTTGTCTTTTACTTGGGATGCCATCCTCAGCTCCATGGTAGCTTTGGCCCGTCTAACTGCCTCTCTACAAGCACGAGCAGAGGAGGTATATTCGTCTTTGGTGATCTCTCCCTGTTTCCACTTTTTATGTGCTCCCCTTTTGTCCCTTAGGCTGCCCTGGATTTCTCTGGTCAGCCAGGGAAGCCTCCTGGCCCCTTTCCCCCTTTTGCCTCGCTCGGGGATCGTCTTGCTTTGTGCCCGAAGGATCATTTCCTTAAGGCACAGCCACCCTTCTTGGGCTCCCATCACTTCAAAAGTCCTACTCTGCAGTGCGTCCTTGACTAATCGCCTGAGTTCATTGAAATCAACTTTCCTAAAGTCTAGCACTTTCACCCTACTAGTTACCTTACCCACTCGACGTCTTATGGTGAATTCTATTATTAGGTGATCACTGTCCCCCAGATGGCTACCGATCTGTAGGTCCCCAACCATGACATCCCCCGTTGCCAATACCAGATCCAGTATGGCATTCCCCCTAGTGGGACCGTGTACCTCCTGTGTCAGGTGGAGGTCCTGTACACAGGTTAGAAACCTGTGTGAGTGGTGGGACTTTGCTGTCTGTGACTCCAAGCAGATGTCCGGGTAGTTTAGGTCCCCCATGACTACCGCCTCTTTAGCTTTTATGGTCTCCGAGAGTTGCCTCAGGAGCCCCGAATCCCTTTCTTCCCCTTGATGTGGGGGTCTGAAGGAATATGTAATATAGTTTGCTAAAATAGGCACCAAACACTTCCCAGTGATGTAGCTACCATCTAAGGGTTCAAGAAGAAGGCCTGACTCCACATCCATGTAGCTATAACAAGTTCAGTTTGCTTTACCAGGCATACCCATTCAAATGAGTACTCTCTTAGCTCTACTCTGGCCTCTTCTGGTATGAGAGTTTTAGAATATGTTCCTTTGCAGTGATATTACTGTTTGTTTAAACTGCATGTCTGTCAATTCTAGTCTACACCTGGAGCTGCCCCTTTGATGCCTGATCGCACTTTCACTAAACCTAAAGACATTGAAACAACGCAACACCAGCTGTTGTTTTAAATAGAACCAGTTCCATAAAGTTAGGTGGTTATGGTGTACTTAGCATTTTCCCTGCCTCCATTCCATCTGAGTCATCACCCCCAAAAGATTCCTTAGTAAGAATCTGCTATGTAAGTCAACAAATCCTGGTGGCTTGAAACAAAATGACAAGTCAGTGAGATGTTCTTAAGTTTACTGGATGAACTCAGTCAACAGTGTTCAGACATACAACATAACTCTTGAGGGCATATGAACAACACTTGCAGCAGCAGAAAGCTGACAGCCCTTGTCCTCGCAGCTTTACCTGTGGTAGGTTAGGGTGCTTTTGGTGTTACTAGGAAATATATCTTGTAGTTGTGTGATGGGGCTGATTGTTAGTTTTCTGAATGGAGACAAGAACTTGGAGGGTTTGGATAGGGTTGATCCTGTCTTGAGAAGGGGTTTGGAGTAGATGACCTCTGGCGGTCCTTTCCGTGGTCATTCCATGATTCTATGATTATAAGCTCAGGCAAAATGCATTGGAAAATTTTCTAATCTATGACCTCACCAAAATCAGTCTTGTAACCCCTGAATAATATAATGGAATGTTCTGCTAATAGTTTTCATGGGCTATGGTTCTCCAAGCACTAAGACATCACCTGCAGGTCAATGGTTGGGAAATGGTACTAATTCTGGAATCTGCCATCTTGAAATTGAGAACAAGCATCACCAGTGTCAAGCAAAATGCAACGCTATAGAATATTTCTTACTAATTTTGTACCAAAATCCCATTGGAATTTAGTGGGATGTGGTTGCTTAATCTACTTGGGCTCCGGTGAAAGTCTCAGGTCAAGTATGGTTTTCTAAGGATGAAGATGTTCAAACCCTGCCTGTCTCTGCAAACAGGACATGAGCTTTACTTTGCTAACTATTCTCTGTACTAAATGTATGTATTTATAAGTGTCTGTAGAAATTAAAGTTTATTGGGGTGGAGGATGGGAGATGCGGGGAGTGTTGGCTGATAGAGCATAGATGTCCAGAATGAATTTCAACATAAAAAGGTGAACTGCTGAAAAATCGTAATGCCATTTCAGCAAAAATCTCAAGAAAAAGGATTTAAAAAGATGCACACATTGCATGATTTGCACTAACTTAGCCCATTGGGGCATCCATGATCTGAGGACCTGGGAAATTATCCTGATTGATTCTTTCAACCAAGACAAAAAACTGACTTGGGACATTTCAAAACTGCTTAGCCTTAGAAGGGTCAAAGCATAGGGAACAATGTTAAAAAGTAATGTGTACTTGATAAGGAAAGAAGCATAAAATGTTGTAAGAATAGCATTATTTGGAAAGTGCTCATCTTCTACACACTTTTTATTTGATGAGCCTACATTTTTGGTAAGTAACTGACCAAAACATAAGTAGGATAACTTTGTGAGACATCAAGGAAAATTGGGTTCCAAATATGTAATCAGTTTCATATTAACATAAATTTGAGGAATATCAGAGTAGGTAGCTTTGGGCTATTTAATGAATTATGGATGCTTTCAGTCCTTTTCGTGTGTATGGGAAGTAACTTATTTTTTATTTTAGAGGATTAAAGGATCTGGAGTTAGACACCCCTTCCATTGAGAAACGCTTTGCCTACAGTTTCCTTCAGCAGCTCATAAGATACGTGGATGAAGCACATCAGTACATACTGGAGTTTGGTACAGTACCTTTAACTGCATTTCTATTAAATATTATTAATCGAAGAACTTTATAGTTAAGATTTAAAAAACAACCAGTTTCCAAAAATGTCATGTATTGGGGCCTGGATATTATATTAATATTAGTATTTATGTTGAATTGTTTTATGCTTATATAAATTACACTTAGATCCAGAGCAGGTAGATGGCCAGGTATCCAGGGGTAACTGCTGAAGTGGATGGCACCTTGTTATTAGGTAGTATATGTTTGCACTTAGCAAATGATCCAACAGGGCTCCAGACACATGACTTCTGCACTACTGTAACTTATACTGGTCTAGTTTTACCCCTGGGTTTTTCCTGGGGTAGCTATTCCAGATTCTAGTAATTTATTTTTGCATAAGCCAGTGTAATATATTTTTGCTGCTTTAAGCACCCATGTAAAAGTGCAAACATGTTGTTTGTCCAGGCCGGTGCAAACGTGTTGTTGCTCCAGTCCAGTACAAACGTTGTTGCTCCAGGCCCTTGGAGAAGGACCCTTTTTCTCAAGGACCTTAGTCAGTATTATACTTTTTAGGGAAACATCAATGGAATGGTATAGTAAAAGTTAGTATTATGAATATGGATTGAGCATTACTTGGGGTGTATATCAGGTAGAACTTCTCCAAGTTCCCAAAAAGTTTCCATCTACTTGTGTAATAACTTCCACAGCTTAAACCTTATCTTGCAGATTTATAATAATAATTATAAGGACACATTTGTGCAGAGCCAGACTGAGGACTGGAATACCACTCTCCTGGCAAACTAAAGCAGTTCTTTATCCCACATATTTATTTGTAGCTAGTGACTATAAAGCAAACTGATAAACAGAAATCTAGAGAATTTCTTATTTTCTTACCTGCCCCCCTCTCCCACTTTCCAGGAGAGCTACTTAATCCACCGTAAACTTTCATTAAGCTTCCTGCTTACAACTTCATACAACTTAATGTCAGATTCCTGCT